GTGAAGTTATTAATTTATAGTTCTTGTTAGCCTCAACCTATAGGCCTGTATTCACCGTTGCTTCGTCTTGCTTTTTTGATAATTAACTTGGACTATGCGTATATTTCTAACAAATTTTATTTTCATGGCGAGTTCTTTGAACACAGTGATTAACTTTTGGATTGATTCATATTCTAAGTAAGTTTCACACTGCGCTATACAAGTTTGTAGAAGTACGGAAAAATTTTACGTTACTTGAGATTTCGTTATAAGGAACTATTAAGACCATTTAGGCAAAATATTTTCAGACGCTAAATTTTACCTTTCCAGTGTTAAATTCTTCTAATATTTATTTGCAATAAAACAATTCTTCAGTATCCCTCTTGTAAACTTCTCACATATCAAAACTACTAATAAAAAATAGTAACGTATTGGTGTCCCGTACACATCATGCATGCGTTTGGGGGGAGAGGTGGTATAGCTCCTGCTCATTCTTGACCTCGGCACTAGGGAGGGGTGAGTAGTCAGAGTCACGCCCCAGCCGCGCTTTACCACCAGAAAATAACCTCTGTACCCATTACATAAGAGTCTGGATGCAGAAGAAAAATCTTCTGCCCCTGTAAGGGATCGAACCCCGGGCTTTTAGTCCATTGTCAGCCACTATACTGACTGAACTACCGAACAACTTTATTTATGTATGGCTTTTTTAGCGACTGTCACCCGCCCAGATTTATCCTGCATGTATAGCGTCGAATGATAGAATCAGTAATGAATGGGTTGGAGATTTTCGAGGGAAGTGGTCATGGCCTAATTTAAGATTCTAACACGTTCCTGTTCCCCGGGCCGAGATTTGAAACCTTGAAGTGTCGAATGAGAAGCATGAAAGCTAACCGCTCAAATGCCATGTTCTGTAGCAGCGCTAATCTGTACTGTCTTTGAGCTAAGAATCACAATGGAAACTTCAACATGAGTGAATGGCATGTCATAGTAGGTCAGAAAGTAGGAAGCAACACAATATTTGTACCAGATTGCAATCACACGAGGCCTCTTCGCTTTGCCTTAATTATAGATGATGAATTGCATAATTGAAGTTGTTTCATGCACACACTTCTTTGTTATGTGTGCGTACTGGAACGTACAGTCACGCCAAGCAAAAAGAGACCTTCTCTGCGTCATTGTTTCACTGCCTGCTCACCGTATTAGCAAATTAACGGCTTCTAATTTTCGTTTATAGAATGCAAGTTGGACACTTCGTTACTATAACAATACCCCCCCCCCCCCCCAAGTGCAGATATTCGTTATATATCAGAAACAGTATATAAATAAAGCGTGTGTTAGAATTAAGAATGAGTCTGAACTTGAAGTAGCTCCATTCTGAGCCAGCTGCCTCCAATGCACAATCTTACACTATTTATTTAATTGTTTTTAATATCGTCCTACTGTCTGCCCTTAATTTTCTAAGTCCTTTTCCTATCCAATTTTCCGACTAAAAATGTTTATGCACCCTCAGCTGCCTAGTGTGTGCTACAAGTCCAACCCATCATAATTCTTGATTCGGTCACTATTATAATATTTGATGACGAGGATCCCCCCCCCCATCTTCCTGTTACTTACGACGGCCTAGACTAAAACGCTAAACTCTGAAATTTGTTCTCAAATATGTTTTCCTCCGATTATATTCTTCCCCTAGTTTAAGTTTAACGTTCATAAAACAGTCGGCAGAATTGTAGTTGTATGTATTTAATTTTAATATCTGAGATGGGAGACGGGGACATGGAAGGTTATGAAGAGTATTATCAAGCTTTTCCAGAATTTAATCTGTTCTAACTTCTTTGCTTTGAGCAAACGCAGCGTACGTACAGATAACGTTTGTCAGATTCATTTCTTATTCATAACGGTGAGAAACGAGAAGATATTTTTATAATGAAGGCTGTTCAACGTATCTTCAGAATACACCATTAGGAAGATATGAGAATTCTGAAAGAATTGGAACTGAGTGGTAATCATCTTCATTCTATGTTATTGGTATTAATTTATCGTACATAATGGTCTAATCTATAATAAAATGCTTTTTATAGAGCATTTGCACAGAATTTATTGGATACTTTTTCTTCATCATGTAGATCCATTCCGATTCGAGGATTGGTCGAACAGGTCCATCTATCTCTTAAATTGTTGGCCTCTTTCTCTTCTCCCTTTTGCATGATAATCGAACATCTTTCGACGAATTCTGTCACTTGACATTCTTGACATATGTTTATAATACTTTGTGGATTTTCGTTTGTTTTTCGCATAGGCTGATTATATATAGTTCCTGTCTTGTGTCTTCATTATCCTCATTTGATCTTTTCCTCAACAACCCGTCACAAGTCTCAGAAACCTCTTTCCAGCAGCTTGTCACAAGTCTCAGAAACCTCTTTCCAGAAGCTTCAGTTTGTATGATTTGATGTTTTCACAGCGGTGAATATGAAGATGTCTGTCTTCTGGGTTGTAGCGCTGTGAAGTCTGGTAGATTTTTACGGACGTTTCGTTCATACTACCTCCATCATCAGGCTATTCATCGCCCTGATGACGGAGGCAGTATGACCTCTGAAACGTTGGTAAACATCTACACGGCGCAATAACCCAGAAGACAGAAATCTTCAGCTTCAGTTTGTTGTAGATGTTTTTATAATAGTTGGGGTCCAGCGCTCATTACCATAAAGAAGTGATGGTATTGCCAGAACTTTGTAGAATTTTGTAATTGTTTTCTGTCAGGATTTATGAATTATTGTACGTTTTATTGTTCCACACATATAGTTAAGCCTTTGTAATTTATTCTGTATATCTAGGCTTCTGTTACTGCCCATTTGGCAACCTAAATAATTGAAATTTGTAACTCATTCAGCTGTACTCTTATTTATTAGTGTGTTTGCCCTCATCGGGCATGTAGCGCGCATGGATGGGGCAAGAGGTGTACACCGGGTATTGGTTGGGAAGCCTGAGGGGAAGAGGCCGCTGGGGAGACCTAGACGTAGATGGGAGGATAATGTCAGGCGGGATCTGTGGGAGATAAGAGTTGAAGGAGACTGGATTTTGTTGGCCCAGGACAGGGTCCAGGGGCTTTGGTTAATTCGGCGATGAACCTTCGGGTTCGGTAAGCCATCTAGTTAGTTAGTTTGGCCTTATCATTTATTTTCTTCCATGGTAAAATTTGTCTTTTGTGTGGAAATAATCAAATTATACTTTGAAGTAACTTAAGATAATTGGTGCAGGGATTTTTGGAGACAATCCTGGGAAACAGGTGAAATCACTTGATCATCTGCAAATAAGTTTTGTAGACAGTTTACTTTTTAAGAAATCGGTATTTTCCTGCCATTCTGTTATAGCATGGTCTAAATAAAGATTAAAAAGAATGGGTGATAATGACCATTCCTGTCGTACTCCCTGGTTAATTAAATATTTTCTGTTATACATTCTGCCCCCATTCTCAATGGCATTTTTGTTCCTACATATAGACACTGAATTACGCTATGAGACGTCACGGAAGGCCTTTCAGTGTATGTATTTGCCCAATACATAATTTAGAATAGTTTTATAATTACAATAAACATTTAACATTGTTTTTAATAATTTTTAGTTTTTTGTAGATTATATTTTACGTGTCAATTGAACGTACGCGATTGTAATACAGGGTCAAATTTTGAGGAGAAAGCAAGCTTTTGTTCGAGTTATTGACCCTAATAATTTGTTCTTAGTTTCTTTAACGACGCTACGTGAAATGAAAAGGATATGTGCGAGGAGGCCATAAATGGTAAATGGACCAGAATTTAAGGGAGGTCGTGTAGTGTTCCGGTAATTGGCTGAAAAGAGTAAAAATAACTCAATCAGGACAGTAAGAAAGTTGACAAAAAAATTCAAATCAGTTACCTCCCGAATGCACACCTACCGGCTAACATGATAAACTGCGTAAATTAATTTTAGCCGTATGAAATTTGTAAAAGAAAGGACACCAACACTATATATAAATAATCTGTTGTTAACATTCTTCGAACTTTGTATATCGTCGTAAATTTATATACAAATTAACTAATCTAAATGAACGTTCAACCACCCGATCTGGAAAAATAGTTTGAAGTAGGAGATATTTGAGCTGGCAGATCATGTATAAAACAACACTCTGATTGGCTGGTGAACTACTGTAACCGCAGAAGGGGGTTGGGGGGGGGGGGGGAGATGGTGTTGTCGCTAGTGATTACGTCAACTGCAGTATTCCTAAGAATATAATGCTTTGACGGTTTGAAGGGAACTCAGCGAAGTACGTGGAAGCGGCTCAGCGTACTTGAGTAGCGAAGTACTGCACAAGATTCAAAGACCACAGGTGGAAAAGACATCTGAAAAATGCAAACTGAGGACAAAAAACAGAACACCTAAAACACGAATGTCCGTACTTGAGGAATAAAGACATCCAGCAGTTATAGTTTTTGAGTACGATATGTTGTAGCGTAATGGTTAAACGAAAAGATGGTGTATGATTTCTTTCTTCTTCGTTCTGCCAGTCAGGTTCGAAAATGTTCCGATTTCAAAGTCACGTTCTGAATGGTCTCGTTATGTCTGTACATCTTTCGTCGCACGTTCTGTCGCTGTCAGTTCTGTTAAAGAGGATTGAGCATTCTTTCCACAACTGTTTCTATCTCCTGTTTCTGAACAATTATTCACTTCCTTCCTTCTGTCTTTGTATTTACTTTCTCCAAGTCTAGTACGACCACATTCTTGACACTGGAAGATAAATTTCCGTCGTTTGAATTTTACTAGACTTCCTTTCATCTTAAACCAAGTTCCACTTCCATATAATTGTGAGAGGACTGATATGACTTTATTAAATTTCAGCATAATAGTACAGAATTTGTTACGTTAAATAATTATAGATTGTTTTGAAATACCGAACACTTAATTAGTCATGCTGACGCGCAGTATTTTAATTTATTTGTCTTCAAACCATCACACCCAAGAATGCTGACAGTCTTTTCTTTGGTTTCCAGGATCCGCGCCACGGTCGTGGTGCCTCGCCTGCATGCTACTAGTCCTACTCACTCTCACAGGGATCGGTGTGGTGCTGCCACTGACCGCCAGGTTACGTCACGATTCACGTAACTTGGATTATCTGTCAGCCGTTCATTCTATGCTGAGACAAGTTCCTCTTGTGGATGGGTGAGTAGGTTTTACCATAATTATGTTTTACGGACTTTGGTGCCGTGTAGATTCGTCGGTAAATGCCAGCGTTATTCAAAAATATATTGTCTCCAACTTCAGCCCTCAAAAAGGATGCATTTTTTCCGAAACGTTGGCAAATACTGACAAGTCTACATGCATCTCCATCTTTGGCCCCGTAGATGGAGACAGTATGTTTCCCCGAAAAATTGTCATCTGCCGGTGAGTGTACACGGCGCCAAAACCCAAAAGATTATTATCATCAACCTCACCGCCGTAAAAGCTTTCAATCTCTTGGCTCTTTTGATAGCACCCTTTCATTTCTTATTTTCGTTATCATATCCAACCGACCGGTCCAATGCGCCATGTTGAACCATTAGCGTTGTATTTTTCTCACAACGGCCCGTAACGTCACAATTACCTTATTAATTAACGAGAAATATATTCTCCTGTGAGACCTGTAATCCCTGTAATGGTACGAAAGGCCACGAGGTTCGCCAACCACAGTATTTACTAAAATAATTAACAGACCAGATCTACGAAGTTGAAAATTTTATATTTCTGTGATATGAAGAGCCTGGCGTTTTAATGTGATTTTCTTACATACGATATTTACACCATTATATGTGCGTATAAAATAAGCAGAATAGATAAATTTGCAATAATAATGAGTGTTCATTACCTTTTTAAAAAAAGTTCTACGTTGGATCTATCCATAGCCAGCTGAGAGCCAAAGTGAGAGACCAGGTTTCGCACCCATGCAGCAGTACTGGCAAAAATTACGCTTCACTATTTTTAATCTTTACGTTCTTAGATATGAGATGGGACGACAAAATATTTTGGACTGAATAATAGCAAGCATTCCCTGAATTTAATCTGCTTTTGATTTCGTCATGAATGCCATTCTGACTTATTAATGTCATCATGTCACATTTTCGAGCGATTCATCAGATAGCCTTATATTCTGGTTCTGTCCTGACTTCTGATGCCGAGACATGATCATATACTTTGTGTTTTCTGCATTTATTTCTAGACCAACATCCGTACTAGTCCTTGAGAGTGTTTCTGTGTTCCCTTTTATATTTCTTATATTATAGCCTAGCAGATTAATATCATCAGCAGAGACCAAAAGCCGATGTGTCGTATTCAGTTCCAAACCGCCCTGTTTTTCTTTGACTTTCCTGATGGCATATTCTAAGGCAAAATTTAAAAGCAGTGGCGATAGAGCATCTCCCTGTTTCAGAACATTCTGTTTAGGAAATGTACCGGACAAATGTTTACCTACACAAATTTTGCTAGAGATTTCACTTAAGCATATTTTAATTAGTCTGACTAGATTCTTAGGTACACAAAATTAAATCAAAATGTTGCAAAGAGCTTCTCTTCTAACTGAGTCATATGATCTCTTGAAGTCTATAAATAGTTGATGTAATGTCCCATTGTACTGCAACATTTTCTCTAGAATCTGATGAATGTAGAAAATTTGATTAGTTTTAGATCTGTTACGACCGAACCCACACTGATAATCCACAATAATTTAATTGGCATATGGAGTTAGTCTCGCCAGAAGAATTTTGGATAAAATTTTGTAGGCAGATGATAAAGGCAGATTCCTGGATGATTATTACAGTATCATCGCCTTTCTTATGAATTTTACAATTTTTGATTCCTTTCAATGCTGTGGCATTTCCTCCTTATTCTATATGGAGCAAATAAGTTTGTGTATCTCGGAACGCAACGTTTCGCCTCCGACTTTGATAAATTCGGGCGGAATCTGATCAGTACCCAGAGATTTATACTTCAGTCTCCACTTTGATAAGGCTAAGTTCTGGCATAATGGCTCAGCCGTATGTGTATCCATCTGCAATACAAAAAGGTTGATTCTCGTCAAATTTCATGGATTATACTAAGCTAGTGTTAAAAATAATCGTATTATTTATTTGAATTTGTTTACAGGGAATGTATGCTATAGCCACGGACCTTTCTGAATCTACTGGAAACCCACGTACCTGTACTTTACCGTTTCCAATCCCAAAGATCAAAGCGACGAGTTGTGTGTAATAAGCTGCGCTCTGCATGAATCTAAACTAAAATCCATATTCATATCATCAGGGCATGTTTTCTGTTAAGTGTTGTTACATGTTGAAGGCTTTCCGGATAATGTTACTGCTCCAGGCATATAACCAAGCGAGCATTTGGGGGTGGGCTCACTACGATGTGTCTTGTTTGTTAAATCTCAGACTGGGAGCTAATATCATTGAAGTTTTGAACACAGGAAAATGAGATTTAATATAATCTAGGTCTTAAGGTTTGGAAGTTGAAGTCTGCTAGGGACCCAACAGATTTAGTTTTTCGCCAATTAACCTGATCAGGGAAATAGAATCAACGTCCGAGACGGTGTGGTTTTAACAACATCAATATCATGGACAAAGTGTAAAATAAAATTAAAACGCAGATATTTAATATAATGGAAAGGAATAATGAGTTTCTTTCGAAAATACAATTTGTCTTTTAACCTGTTGTATGTACTTTATACGGAAAGGAAGGGGTTCATAGTATCATGTCTTTGTGTTTACCGGTACTAATTATTGATCCAAGTAACGAATTAAACTTTTTTAATTTCCTGCCGTCATTATGTCAATTTTGCGACCATGCGAAATTATGAGATAGGGCTGCTCAAGTGCCGCTTAATGAATGCCCCTGAACTCTTGTGCTGTAATAAATCTTCGAAAACTGTGCAGCTTTTTTGTTACGTTTGTTGTGTAGTGTAAAACAATAACAAAGTGGCGGCACAATCTTGATGTTTAACTTTTATTTTGGTGGCCTCCTCCAACAAATAATTTGTACTGCACGTGTGAAATTAGTGTATAGGATTAGATTCCAATAAATAAATAAATAAATAAATATATATATATATATATATATATATATACAGATTCTGTATGTAATATTTACGAAAGTATTTTACTCTGTGCTAAAGGTTTAAATATGCTGAAATTACAGGAGTGTTGTTTAACTTCATGTTGAACCTTATTAAACTGCAATATTTCCATAAAGAAAGTGTTTACAAGGAGGTGATTAGCTGCAGTAGATTTTTCAAGGAAGATATTATGAATAAACTCAAATATCTCATTATTAAACTGGGTTGCTGGATGTTATTGTCTGTGGGAGGGGCGTAGCTTTTTTCCTTTATTATTGTGTCGAGACCGGTTCTTTAATACACACAGCCTCCTGTTCAGTGGATTGTCTGACAAGGGGCTATTTCTCCTGTAACAAACTTGCTGGAGCGTCAAATTAACCGCTTTTATCTGTCTAGTGACGATATTAAAAATGCGTTAACCACATTCGCTCTGTACTACTTCGAAATCCGGTGCTTATGCACAGAGGAAAAGCTGCCGTTTCACTGCGCACAAACTACACTCCTGTTACAGACACAACGACCTCGCTTGGAACGTCCGGAACTTTGTGCACAACCAATTGCAGCGGTTCAACTTCTCCGCTGACCTGCGGACGGTGGCTCCGTGGGCCATGAGCTCCTGGTCGCACACTGACCTTCCGCGGATGCAGCAAGGAATGCTGGGAGCACAGGTAATTTTACTTCGGTTTAAGTTATTTCAAGCTCGTGAAATCTATCTCATACGACATCTCTGGTATATGACGTGCTAATAAAAGTTACTTTAACAAAAATTTTGGATTATCATAGGCCTCTGAGTTATATTAAGCATAACTTCAGGACCTTATATTAAACATCACTGCATGCTGTTATTAGTGACCATATTAAATTTAAATGTCCGAGGTTTAAGTGGTCTTAATAACATAAATTTAATACTATGTTATGTCAAAATCGGTTAATCGGTTGGTTAAATGAAGGGTTGAATGGGGTTACAGTTAGATAGTATGATGATGTCATGAATTTAAAGCTGAAAGTTAACTTCTATACTGAAATGCGGTGTGTTTTCTTGTAAATATGAACCAAATCATTAAGCAATTTTTAGATACAATTGGTCATTTAAGGGAATGTTTTAATGATTTGTCTTGATTATTCTGTTTTGCAAATAAAGTGAGTACAAGCTTTTATAGACTCAAAATTTGGACATATATAAAGTCTACTCATTTATCTGATGATGTGAGTAACTTAAACAAGAAGATTGGATAAATGCGCCCTTTGACAGGCACATTAGAAAAGCGAATTTCGCCTAAGCATGGAGGCTGTTGGCTCTAGGCGTTCAAATATCGAGTGCGTTTTATATCAACCTCACATTACGCAGATGGCATGGTGACAGCAGGCGCTCTCAAAAAGGTTTTGATAACTAAGAATTAAGGGATATTTCATTATAGTAATTGTTTTTCGGAAATCAGTGCATTATAGTTAAATCTTGTGTTGCACGTAAGATTTCCATTTTATAGACTCTGCAATTTCTGTTGAGACACTTGCCTCTAATGTGAATACTTACATATATACGGCCAAAAATATGTTTCGATCAGTAAGTTTGTGGACCATAAAATTATTAAATGTTAATTAAACGCGCACACATGATGTTAGTACCTATAGATATGCTATACGTATATAAAGCTTTATAAAACTGTGTGGAAGGACTCAAAATATACATTAGAATTTTATTTGAGCTCCTAAGTGAAACGAAGTCAATCATCACCCTGATGATCGAGGCAGCAAGGGCCTCTCAAACGTTGGTAAACTTCTACCAGACTGCACGGCTCTACAACCCAGAAGACAGACATCTTTGAAATGAAGTTTTCCATAAAATGAACCAAATTAACGAAATTCAAAATTGCTTGATAAAATACAGCCCAGCACACTGATTTGTGATCAGAATAGGTCTTTATGTTCTGGAGTGTGCTCTTGTAGATTGATGGCGTTATGACGTGTTTTTTAAAACATGCTACAAATGAAATTTTGGACAATATTTAGTATTAGGGTTAAGTATGTAACAAGTTTTCCACAATAAACAGAGCGACTCTGAAGAAAACACAGAAAAGATTGTATACTTAACATCACGAAACATTTGGTAAATTGGCAGATCAGAGTCAATAAACGAAACATAATATATATTGCATTTAGTAGCCGCGAAAGCCTCAAGTCTTATATAATTTAAAGTAGTTTGAAAATGTTTAATTACATTTAGACTTAATTAAAAAAGAGCGCCATTTTGCGAACACGACGTAGGTCTGCATACTCCAACAGCCTCAGACACTTGAAGCACAATTTTCAGAATTAACCTTAGACACTTGTTCCTAATTCTTCACCAGCCCGAACGCACTGACCCGTGGGTTAGTCTCCATCCTAAATTAACTCCACTTTTAATATATTATGAGATGAAGGTGAAGTGTGAAATTTAATTTTTTTACGGCGGCGTTCATGAAGATTATTGCCATCTTCGATGTTGGGACGTTTAGTCTGGTAGAAAGTGACCGACGTTTCAGAGATTATTGCTGCTTCAGTCATCAGTGTAATAAGACATTATCATGCGATATTTAATAAGAAGTTAGGAAATGCAGGTATAGCGTAGAAATTGTGACGCGTTTGCCAAAACTTGAATTTTAAAGTAAATAACAATAGTAAACAATGTAACCATGGTAACCGGCAAGGTAGCTTGCAGTAAGCCCTCAAGGTCACTTCGGTGCCTAGAAACGCATGTCGGTTAATGTGAAGTGCCGTCTATTTTTGTCTGATTTTAACCAAAACGGCGACGTGTGGATAAATTTTAGTTCAACTGCCCGATATTAAGTCCAGTGAAGAGCAGTTCGACCATGTTTATGTGTAAACCTACAGACTGATTGGTTGTAACAGATGCTTTACAGGGATGCGCTGAAACAGCCTCAGACTTGGCCGGGTTTCGAAACCCATAGCGCTTTTCCGGGATTTTAAATATTTTGTCACTCCCTAATGGCTCTTTGTATGTGCACTGACTTTCATAAAATAGCTCTATGTGAAAGTGACGCCCAGGTACGTGAGAGGATCTTGAGAGAAGACTGTTGTGATCCACAGTTCTGGTCTGCGTACGTGCCGTGCGAGGCGCAGTATAAAGACGCCGTCCAACTGACGCTGGAGCAGATCAACGTAATTCGACGTCTGGTAGACGGCTACAGCGCGGAGCTGCAGTTCGTCACTTCCGCTGAAGGTAAGTCCGCCAATTACTGGCGTCATACGTTCTTCGTCGCTGGCAAATAAATTTGATGAAACGTGTCACAGGTGACGTCACAAATGCATAACAATTTGTACTTGTTTTAAAGGAATGACATACTTAAATGCAAACCACTGTATTTTACTGTGTTCGTATTAATACCGACCTGTTCTGCGTCCGTTCGTTCTCTAGTTATTAAATTAAAACTGTCGGATATAATTTGGTTTTGATAAGATTTGAAATAGTTGGCTTAGGTTTGGTTTCGTTAGTGATGCGCAGAGCACCGTGCGCAGAGGACCGTTATCCCACCTCAGGATTATGAACATACGAGGTGCGATCGGAAAGTTTCAAGACTGCGCGTATAAAAACCCGTACACTTATCTCAGGTATTAAATTCATCCATCACCCTCGAAGTAGTTCCCCTGGGAGTGAACACAACGATCCCAGCGCCGCTGCCAAGCCTGGAAGCATCCCTGGAAATCTTTCTTTGTCAGCCTGTCAAAGATCTTGCAAGAACCGACCCCAACTTCCTTTCTAAGCTCCGTGTGACTTCTCCCTCTTCCCCAAGATGAAAATTCAGCTAAAGGGAAGGAGATTTGAGACGATAGAAGAGATTCAGGCAGAATCGCAGATGGTGCTTGACAGGCTGACAAAGAAAGATTGCCAGGGATGCTTCCAGGCTTGGCAGCCTCGCTGGGATCGTTGTGTTCACTCCCCGGGGAACTACTTCGAGGGTGATGGATGAATTTAATACCTGAGATAAGTGTACGGGTTTTTATAGGCGCAGTCTAGAAACTTTCCGATCGCACCTCGTAAGTCATTCCCATTCATATTAATGCTTCCATGCTTTACATGTGATCCAAACTGTTGAAACATACAAGTTAAAATCGCATTAACAGCTGCAAAATTTGTTGATGAGGTAAATATTTAAGGAAATACATGGACAGAAATGCTCCACTCTTTGCAGTATAATGTGTGTGGTGTAATTGGCTTTGTGACAACAGATTTGTAGCTGCAATAAATAAGCACGAAGGCAGTGTGATATGCAGGCTGGCTAATAACGTATTTGAAGAATAGTTTCCACTTCAGTTAATTCCATGCCTTTAATATGAACATGCCGACCGTGTGAACTTCTGAGAAGAGAGTGCCATTTTCTGCTGTATATTTTATGTTATCCTTACAAGTGGGTGAATTACTGCATGTGAGCAGACAGGTCTGGCTTTAGTCGCGTGTCCCTCTAATCCCAGCGGCTTCTCTCTGGGTGGGTTATTCTTTTTCAAAATTTATGATCCACGGCGTCAAGTAATCCAGAATATAAATTATTCCGATAGGCGATGGTACAGTACGCGCCTGCTTTCGAAATCAGTGCACTGTAATATTCTCTACAGGCACTTCTTAGCCGCCCCCCCCGCATTGGGATGTTGGAAGGGAACAGCAAATTTCCAGGCTTTATTTCGCCCCCTCTTTAATTCTTTCGTATTCCTTTTCTTCTGTTTTATTATGTTACTTGCTTTGTATGTCTGTTTCTTTCTTTAATTTGTCCCGTTTCCATTTCTTAATTCTTTCTTCCAGTGACTTATTTTTCGTTCTTTCTCATTTCCTTCTTCCTTTCATTAATTCTTTTCTTATTATTTTATTCTGCTTTTCTGCTTTCTTTCGAATTCTTCTTTCCTTTTTTTTGTTCTGACTTTCCTTTCTTCATTTATGCCATCCTTTTATTCATTATTTATGTATGTTCATCTCTTATTTCCCTTCTTTATTTCCTTATCGATTCCTTTTTATATGCGTGTTTGTGAATGGCTAATGACGTTGCTTATGTTACTTATACGATTCGCTAACATAAATTTAACGTTTTATGTAAATAACTTGTATCTCCCGATTTATCTCTCAAATATAGTTTACGTGTTTACATTACGTATTGTCAATGCAGGTAAATTAAGATCTGTCAGTCCAACTTAATTATCCGTCTTGTCGGCCCATCTCATTCCCTTTTCCATATAAACCTCAAATCAACCTTTTGTGAAATTGTTCATAGTTCAGAAATTTGGGGAACACAAAATATATACTCTATTCCGCTCAATAGAAATAATTTGAGCGATAAGATTTTTAGGTAGTTTAGTAAGAATAGTGGCATTACGGACTGGACTACCGGGGTTTAAACCCCGACAGGAGCAGAGGATTTTTCCTCAATGTTCTGGGGCCCACTCAGCCTCCTCTACAATGGATACCGGGGTCCTTTCCCGGTGGTAAAGCACGGCCGGGGCGTAACGCTGACCACTCACCCCCATCTAGTGCCGATGCTAAGAATGAATAGCAATACCCCCTGCCCCCATGGCATGTAGCGGGACAGCTTTACTTACTTACTTAATTACTTACTTACTTACTCACTTACTTACTTACTTACTTACTTACTTACTTACTTACTTACTTACTTACTTACTTACTTACTTACTTACTCACTCACTCACTCACTCACTCACTTGCTTATTTACTTACTTACTTACTTACTCACTCACTCACTCACTCACTCACTTGCTTATTTACTTACTTACTTACTTACTCACTCACTCACTCACTCACTCACTTGCTTATTTACTTACTTACTTACTTACTCACTCACTCACTCACTCACTTATGTTTTTCGATGTGTACATGTAAAGAAATGTAACGTAATCTGTGCCGTGTTACTGAATATAATTCTATCTATTTCATTGGTTACCATTGTAAACAATACATTTTTAAATTTAATTTTATCCGTGTGCCTAAGCACAACTCTACCAAGGCGTGTAGAGAGAGTGGAAATAAACCGCACTTATTGTTAACTTTGGCATTATACGTTGATAGAAAGTTACATGGGCACGTCTGTTCTATGAATCAGGACTGGTGACCATTACACCGCTTCGATTTCTTTTGTGGTCGATTTATCCCCAAGGAAACATCCCAATACCCACTGGGTAGGCGGCTGGGTTGACCATAGAACCGATCTGGACGTCGTGTGGCGAATAGAAAATTTCTGCCCTGCAGGGCATCGAAGTCTAGTCATCCAACCCTTATGTTAGTTACAGTGCTGACAGAAACAAATAAACTTAATTTAGATCAATTAATTTTGTGTAAAACATGATTTATATGCTGAATTTTTAATTAAATACAATGGAAAATTTTTGACTGTGCAGTGTGATTAGTTTTGCAGTAATCGATCAGTACCACTCTCTCACTCTGATTGAAGACCAATGAGGAACACAAATCAAAGAACGACTTGGAAAATACACGTACTTAAACTTGTGCCGCTTTTGGCTGTAGGTCTCTGACGTTTAAAGCTTTTGAAGTTAGAGGCATTGAGAGAGTGACGAAAGCAAAAGAAAAATGTTGTGCGAGGCAAGAGGATAAAGGGCAGGAACGTTTGAAATTCCGTGGGGGTTACAAGGACTGTGGCGCATTACTCAGGGGGAGACGGGACAGACATCACGTTCACACCAGCAGCCAGCGGTTTGCAGGCACCAGAAACAAATGACTGCACTTCGAGATGCGCAGTTCATTATTCTGACAGGTTGCTCCTGGTCTTCTCCAGTCCCACCAAACCCAGAATAATGCAGAATAGGGCGCCACGATGAAGGAAGCAACTCGCGCGGTAACGAGTGCTTTTTAAAATCAACCAATCAGGTACGTCTTTCTTGAATGTTGATATTTTTTCATCTTATCAAGAAATGACTTCCGGAGAATTAGTTAAACATATTGCTAATGACAAGTGATTACGGTGAAATAATTAAGGGGTTAGTCTCAGATTTCTCACTGCGAAGGCTTGGGTTCGCGCTCATGTCAGTTCATGAGGGATTTGTGACGGACACAGAGACACTGGGACAGGATTTTTTCCGAGTCTTTTGGTTTCCTCCTGTCAATATGCTGGTCCATATTCACTAATCAGTCAGCTGTGGGATTCACAATTGACCCATTACCGGTCGCAATTCCGCATAGACACAGTTTTGCCTCCTCGTGACAATAACAAAGATTATTGCTGACATATTTTCGAAGTCTGGTGGCAGGTGACAGTTATGTTTAAATGTTAGGAAGACAAATCCTAAGATCTTTTCTGTAATACATTAATTACAGTAAAATGGAACGTACAATTACAATGTCTGTCTTGTCATTTTTACATGACTATAGAGAACTCGAAGGTGATCAACACTAATATCACTGTAATCGAGCCTAAGACAATTATGTCCACGTCTTATCTTGAAGATTTCTGTCTTCTGGGTTGTTGCGCCGTGAGATGTCCACCAAAATTTCAGAGGTCCGTCATCAGGGCGATCGCCCTGATGGTGGAGGCAGGAATGACCTCTGAAACATTGGTGGACATCTACCATTCTACACGGCGCAACAACCCAGAAGACAGAAATCTTCATACTCAACGCTGTGAAAACCTCAAATCCTACACGTCTTATCTTCACGACACACCTATCATACGTCCGTTTTAATGTTCCATCTCCTTTTAGGGCTTCAAACTGGACATCTTCCAAGAGATATCTTCACTATAATTCTGTATGGAGTCCTTGCCTCCCTTATTATCCAATTGCTTAGCCTATTTTAACCTCCTTCATTTTCTATCAAAACGGAGTTTATCCTTACGTAATTTAATTGCTCACTTACTTCGTCCCTCTTACGTTAAGTGGTTTCCGGAGCACGTCTTTACAAACACTTGTAATATTTTTAGCACACATTTTCGAAAGTATAAATTTCAACGCATGTTAGTTTACTTATCCGCCTGTAAATCGCTAAGTAACAATACTCAAACTACTGAACCGATTTGGATGACACTCTCAGTGGTAGGCATTTACTGCATTATATCGAGCTGTTTTTATTTTGATTTAATTTGTTTATTTCCCTAGTTTAATTAAATCCTAAAATAAACTCTTTTCACATAATTGTACAATCGCTTTACAGGGGTTTTTTTTTTAAATTTTATGGAAGCTTACCATGTGTCACTTTCACTAGCTAAAACC